TTTATTTCTGTGTAATATTTGTGCCTGAACTGTAGTGAGTATCACGAATGGAGATTATGAAATTGGTACCATACACGGCTTAATCAATGGTTTTCAAGGGATTAAATCACTGACTGCCAAAGTAGCTAATGAAATAATTGATATTCCAGAAAGAGAAACAAAGATACATGTTGCGTTGAAGGATAGCTTTCCTATTATTTATGCTACAGAGACGAAATTTGGGAAAAATACTTTAAACTTTGGTAATTAAGATGTCTCTTTGGCATAAAGAATAAAAAAGTTAGCGTTCAGCACAATATATCGGCCAAAAGGCACATTGAAAGTTTTATTCAATACAATTCACCTGGTGCACTATCAGTCGTATTATAATACGACGGATTTCATCTAGTCGGATTCTAATGCAGGTTCATTTCAACAATAAGACTAACACGCAGCAGGCGTATCATAATAAGACTAAAATTACCAGTCTAATTGTGAAATTCTTAAGTATTTGGGTAGTATTACGATATGCCTAGTCGTATTGAAAAAGCCTAGGCGTATTATAATAAGACTAATTTTACATTAAGCCTGCGACATATATAATATGTATAGCGATTTTCAGCCTTAGTAAATTCGTTGCATTACCTAGCTATCTCGACAACTTTAACCAGACACCCTAGGCAGAGGCGCATATACGGGGGGGGGGGGGGGGTAATGGGGGTAATTACCCCCCCCCCCCCCCAGAAAACTAGAAAATTTTCAACCAACCTAAATTTTTAGTTTTTCTACTGAAAATATAGGAATTATATTGCGAAAACTATTAAAATACTACTAACATGGCAGCAGCCTTAGAGCAGGTAAAGGTAAAAAGGAGTAGTAACCTGGATTTGGAAAATGAAGCCGTTTTTTTCCAGGTATTTTTGCACCAAAAAAATGGCGGAATAGGCAATTCAATGCTTTACCTGTATCTTGGTGCCAAACACCTGCCAAAAACTTGGCTTCGCTTTAGTTTCATAAGCAGAATGGCGCGTTCCTGCTCCTTAAGTCCCTAGGACAGCGCTTACCTGCTCTAAGGCAGCAGCGCTTTTTTAATTTGTCTTCGTCATCGACGTCAAATGTCTGTCACTCGGTGCCGCGCCACTGGATCGGTTTCAATAGCGATTTGCCTCTGGGTTGGTTTTAACTCCAGGGACCAAGTTCGTTTTTGTCATCTTTTTCGTCGATTTGCTCCGAAATTTTGACAGGCATGCTATTTGTAAATTGAAACTATCTTATCCAGTCACGTGCCTGTCAAAAATTCGAAGCAAATTGACGAAAAAGATGACAAAAACCAACTTGGCCAGGGTAATAGTGTCATAGGGCCGGTTTCTCAATAGCAGGACACCCCCGGGTTAAATAATGGGTTAAACATAACTCCAAGGTAAACAAAGCAACTGGACACGCTGACCCTATGGAGTTGAAATTAACCCGGAGGTGACTCGCTATCGAGAAACCTCCCTTACGTGTCCAGTTTCATTGGAGTTATGCTTAACCTGGGGGTGACTTGCTATTGAGAAATCGGCCCTTAGGGCCGAATTTATAGTTGCTCCTTTAGGTTTCCTCAGAATCCTCAGACCTCAAGAAGGCCTTGAACGTTTAGAATTGATATATGACTAACTTTTCACATAGTAGCAAGTGTCCACTCTTAACTCACGACCTTCAAGGAAGACCCAAGGAACAACTATAAATTCGGCCCTTACCTACCACACATTTAAAAACTAGGGATGCCCATCCAACTGATAACATCGATGTTTCGGTATCGATAAAACATCGAAAGCTGATATCGATGTTAAGAAAATATTGATAGAAAAACATCGATGTTTTCTCAACATCGATTTTTGGAAGGTAATAATTTGGGCCTGACGCCCGCGCCCCCAAAAAAATTTCGGGGAGCCTGCGGCAAGCTGCCTCCGGCGCGGCGTAGCGGTAAGTAAGCGCGTGTACCGGATTGTTGTTTACCCCCCCAAACCCACACTCTGGATGCGCCACTGACCCTAGGTCTTTGTTCCAAGTTTCGCTTGTCTGACCGAGGTATGTTTATGTACGTAAATACTGTAATCAACTGACCAAAAACTGGCTTTAGTAAATTCAAAGAATTTTTTCGGCGCTGGCTCTCCGGCTATATGGACAAGCATATTGAGATTAAAGGACTCGAACAAGTTATGAGTGGCCCTGTTGTCATTATCCTAAAAATTTATATTAAGATCACCGGCAAGCACGATTTTATAATTTGATGGGAATTTAGAGAGAAGCACCTCCAGTCTTTCGAGAAATACATTCACATTACATCCCAGAGAACAATACATACAGACTATGAAGAATTTAAATTTTATGGAATTAATAATTGAAAATTCGAACTGCGCTCTTCAACTAACAAGTCATCGAACTTATCAAAGACAGAAAAACACTCTGAAATGCACTGATGTACTAGAGCAACTGTGCCTCCGTGTTGGGCATTTGATCTGCAAAATTTTGAAACGATGAAAAACTCAGGAATAGTTCTTCAGGTTTCAGCCAATGTTCGGTTAACAGAACTATGCTTGGGAACGTCAACTCCTCCGCAAGAATAAAAAGGTCGTCGATTTTGTTACGGACGGACTGAATATTTAGAAGCATCAAGGAGATTTTCGTCAGAATGACCTGTGCTAAAAAAGAACCTTGGTCAACAATGCCCGAGAGCTCCCTACTAGTGCTTAATGGGTCCACCGGAATGCTGGCCTCAGGATTAACAGGCCTCACATAGGACAAGGCAAAGTTATGTCTCATTTTACAGCTAGATTTTACATAGATAGCTAAATGTTTACATAGACAGTTTCTAGGCATTCTATATTTACCATTAATTTTAATATTATCGACAATTCGGATTGAAGTGTTCCTTAAAATGAGAGTTTGCTGGCAAAATGAAACATAATTCGAGTACACCCCATTCCTTGTGGAGGAGTATGTCAGAGAGAAAACAAGATTGGTGTATTTTCCAATAGAGAACAGCCTTTTCAAATAATAAGTGTTTAAATTACCAATCAAGTCCAAGTCAATACAAATCACAACACTATCACTTGAAGTAAAGTCTGTAATCAGTTTCTGTTTGCAACCTGAAACAGAGAAAACCCTGGATGGCTTTCGCCATAAATAGAGTATTCTCTGCAGCACAAATTATTCAGAAGCCCTGATACCACGCCTTTAGAGCTTCTATCTCCCAGCACTAGTATGTTTTTTTTTGCTAGGAGAGGGTGCACTTTGTTTGGGATCATCTTTTTGTGGATTAGAAGAATCGCCGGTCCCAGTAAGTGACGTGTTCTGAGCGAAAAGAGGATCAACAGCAGATAGTAGATAGATAGCAGTCCTCAACAGTAGAGTGGGTGGATCTTCTAGAGAAAAGTTGCTTGAGTCCCACCAATTCATTAGAGAGAAATAGATTATCCTGACTTAGGGTCTCAATCGTTTTGATCATTTGGGCATTAAGACTTTATTTGATCTCGGACAATGCATCAACAGATTTGCGCAGCTCCTCCCTTCTAGCCTCGTAGTCAGCTTTCAGAGTATATTCAGGTCTTTTATGCTCAGCTAAGGTGGATTGTAGCTCTGCAAGACTAGACTCGACCTCACTCATACTGCTTGTGTCGGATGTTTAACGAGCATTATTTTTAGTAGAGGCACTGATTATTGAATGAGTTTGTGTGGATACTGTGCAGCGAAAAGGGAGCGAAATATTATCAGTTTTCTCTTCAATTTCCTTCAGTTTAGCTCTCAATAAACTATTTTCACTTGTTAGTTCGCACTCCATAGATTCTGCCGCCTCAAGGAGCATCTGTTTTTCCTCCTTAAGCCTTGCAATAAAAACAGATTTGTCAACAAAGTCTGCATTGATTTCCCTTAATGCCTGGGCAAGGCAAGCAGGATCGGAGCTGTTCGCTTGCTCGTAACAGTCTGCACAGCATAATATCAGGTTGTCACGAATGTACTCAACTCCCCTGCGTCTCAGGAGACAGCTTTTATGGTAAATACTATGACACTGAGAGCATATAAAGTTAGAATTAGCCTATTTACAGCATTTAAAAGCTGAAGCCATAGTTTTGCAAAAAGCGCGTACCTTTTCCCAGTGTAGAAAATTACAATATAAATACACTGAAAAATTCAGGCAAACAAAAAAAATATATATATCTTGAATCAGTAGGAATAAAAGGTCAGCACAATAAAATAAATGAGGAAGGTCAGTGTTCATAAAAAGATAAGGAATGTGAAATTCCTATCTGTGTATTTTTTTGCGAAGACCAAAATTTGAAATTAATAACAGCACAATGCAGCAAATCATTAAATCAAAGTTTTACTGGATTACACTTCACCTATCGGCCTCAAAATTACACGAACATTACACAAAACACTAATTAACTGTTCATACAATTTACAAAATTTTTGAACTTAATTAATACATCCAAAATTGACTTTAAACAGGAGCAATAAAAATGACGACTTGATGAGTGAGTGTGTATTATAATGGTTTCTTGGTTGCGATTCTTAATTGTAAAATGTCTCTAACCGTGTTTCATCAAACCAAAGTGAAACACAAAACAAGAGTTGTTTATTCATGGAACGTGTGCATGCACGGAGGACATTTGATAGGTTGTTCGAAAATGACCAGTAATGTCAATACTGCCCCTTGGATTTGGTTTACCACAACTATAGAAGAGCAGACAGTGTTGGCACCAAGTGTCAACTATTTCAAAAATAGGCTAGACAAAGAACTCGAAGATAGTGCAGTTAGAATCATACACTACAGTGCATAAACAGTTTTCAATACACATAAAAAAAAAAAAAACAGATTTTAGAATGTAGCAATAGCTTCATCGGCTTTACCGCCTGCTATTGGACAAATTACATGATTTCAGTTGGAAATCTATGCTTCGTTCTGATCTACGAGATAATTTTGAGAACTTTATTCGTAAATTGTTGCTACATTATGGTCTAAAAAAAAAATTGCAAATTTAAACTATAAATATTTTTATTAAAACCATCTCTGTGCTCAATATATACAATTGTACATAATAAAATCTCTAAATTTACAGTTGTTAAAAAACAAAACGTTTTTTTAAAATCTACAATGTTTATTTTCAATAATTAGATTGTATATTAATTATTATTATAAACAAAACCGTATTTTGTTGTTTTGCTCCTATTTATTTCATTCGATCAATTTATCCCAAATGGAATGATATTCAAATTTTGATTTTCGTGTTGATTCATTAATTTCTTTTGGAATATATAAATCCCAAACCGAAATAAGAGGTCACCGTATAATTATTATTATTGTCATTAATTTGAAAAATTCGGAATTTTGATAAAAATTTCATTATGTTTGGGATAAAGGGCTGAATTTCTTGACTGACAGGTAAAGTTCAGTTTCTAAGAACTAAAATAAAAGAAATTTGCGAATTATGTTATCAACTGTCCAAATCCAAAACTAGAAAAACAATTACGTAATAAATGATTTTTCAAGCAATAAGCAATTGAGCTATTGGCAAATGGAAGCTTTGTGTGCTAAAGTTTCTCAAATTTTGCAAAAACTAATAATCCAGGGTAAGAAGTAAGTACAAAGCCACTGAATTAAATTAATTCAAACTTCATATTTTGTATTTTTCTATAAATAATGAATTGAATTGAGAATTTTTATGAAATTAATTCATAAAACTTACTGAATTTTATCTGTCAAATAAGAAACCAGCCCCAAGACAAAAGAATGTAAACAAATATTGTCCATTTCCTCTTATACCAAAATTAAAAACGGTATACACTATAATAATCACAATATTTCATCAGTTAATTTTTCGACAATACAACTTTCTATGTAAAAAGACTTTTTTTTTTGAAAATAGAGTGAATTTCCCTCACAGCCTTTCACAGTTTGTCAAACGTTTCAACTTTTATACACAACACCAAAAATTTGGAAGATACAAGTTTTTGAATCTATTATAATTGTCATGCCAAGAACTGTTTCATTTATAGTATTTCAGCATTTTCAGCAAGACATTTTTCATTTTTTTTATACCAACTGATAATGACAGACTCATATAAGAGGAGTGGAATTTTAGTATTAAAGTAATATTTAACTTTCCACAGGTTGGGTTGAATGGAAGAAGGTCTGTTCCATTTTATTTATAATTTTTATATTAAACTTTTAACTTATTTTCTTTTTGCATAGTTGTGAATCCTCCATTGACTGACATCGGGTACACAGGCACTTTATGTCACTATCAATCAGTATGAAAGATCTAGGACAAAATAGAAGCCTTGCTGAAATACAGTAAATTAAACCAAGAAATTAAATTAAACATTTTCAAGTAGTCTGATTATGTCATTCGGGATCAAGGAAATCATTCCACAACAAGATAAAATGGTATGAATGATCAGAGCACATGAAAATATATTTTCCGGCAAATAAAGAAAATCAATACTTCACCAACTCTTTGGTTGTCATAAACTTAATACAAAATATATCTTGTTAATTGTCATACCCTGTAAAATAAAATAAAGAAATGAACAAGACTCGTATAATCAGAGTCAAATGTAGCTACTTGAACTTATAAAGCAAAGTTTTTTTTTTTTCAAAAAAGGCACCATTATTTTATAATAGCAGCTCTCAGTGGTCACACAGAAGAGTTTAAATCTTCAACGTGCTGTATTCTACAAAAAACTACCCACAAAAACATATTCATTTATATAAAGTGATATGTATGTTATTTGCCCAAAAGAAATCCAAAAAAATTATCCTGTACATATCACAAGCGTTTATTAATTTAGTTTTACAAAAATTTTTCGTTCAAAAATACTCTTGACTAGAAAGGGGATTTTTTTTTGCGGGTAATTCCTAATTTTACGAAAAATATTCTTAAGTTATGGGCTTGTTTTTTCACAATACTACTAGGCACTTTTTCATTTAAGATTATTCAAGAAGAATGTAGATTCTAGCGATTCGTTTTGCGTATTTACCAACAAAAATTACATATATACAAATAAAAAAATTCAATAAAAAAAAACAAACAAAACAAAATAAAATCTACAATAACTGATTTTTTACACTATGCAAAACCATTAGAAAATGGTAAATACCCAAAATAAATTATTAAGGTAGTTTTGCATTAAGTATTACAATAACTTTTATATTTAAAAATAAGAGCTCTGATTTGACTTTGAAGTAATTTCAAAAAATTAATGAATATATTTGTTTTGGTTTCAATCAGAATCAGTTCCAGAACCATTCAAAGCACTTGCATAATCATCATACCATGAAAAACCAGAGCTTTCAATTACCAGAAAAAAAAGCGAGACTAGCAAAACCTTAAACGCTACTAGTTCCATCACCACCACCCAAACTACCTTCAGCCTCAGACTTTTTCTGCGAAACATCATTGGCCGATTTATCAGCTTCATTTTTTTCTTCAGCTGTTGACACTGATAGAGCTTTTCCATTGTCTATGCCAGGCAATGAGCTCTGTTCATTTGAGGAGCCTAATTGTTCGTTTACAGTATCCTTATCACCATTTGTACCCAAATTATCACTAGTTTTTGAACAAACTTCATCAGCTGCTTTATTGTTAGTTCCACTATTACTACAGCTGCTATTTTCAGAGGTATTTTCAAGTCGAATTTGAATTTCTTTTGAAATATTTTCTTCTGAAGGCTTTTCTTTTTGAATTTCCTTCACAGGTGGTTGTTTAGTATTTTCGTGTGATGCCTCTTTATCAACTGAGAATGCTGGCTCTTTTTCTTCACTATTGACCTGATTTTTTGCATCCGTCAGCATCTCAGGTGCAACAGAAGTTGGTTTTGTTTCACTTATTTTTGGAGGCATGTTTTTTTCTTTAACTGCAGAAGCATTTTTCAAGATCTCGTTCCCCAAAACTTTGATTGTCTGATTTTCACTAGCTTTTTTAACATTTTTTTCCTTTCTGCTATGCCTCTGACAATTTTGATTTACTTTCTCACCTATTACACCTTTATTACTAGCCCCTTGTTGCACAGCAGCTCCATGCACGGGAGATCCATTCGTCACTTCTTTATTGTTCGCATTCAATTCTTTAGCCTTATTTTGAGTAATTTTTTCCAAAGCTGTTTCAAGACTCTTATCAGTTTTACCTGCAGAAGTATCTTTTAGTTTCTTATTTCCAGTATTGGGCGACGATTTTCCCATTATCGGTGAATTACTATTGGGACTAGGCGACGATTTTCGCATTACTGGCGAACTACTACTGGGACTGGGTGATGATTTTTGCATTACAGGTGAATTGTTATGGCTTGCCCTTGAGGAAGGTTGATTGGTTGGTTTGGTTTGAGTTGAATGTTTGGAAGAAACCTTTGGAATGTTTCACTTATTAATATGTATATATAAAAAATTAAAAATGTCTTCTTACCCCTGGGCTAAGTGGAGAATTCAAGCCCATATTCAAGCCAAAGGCGTGAGGCAATGGAGACGGAACCAATCCAGCTGCTGCAGCTGCTGCCATCCTTTGGGAATACCACAAACTAAGAAAAAAAATGTTGTACAAATTTGTTGCTTCATAAAAAATAATTTAATTGGTTGTCGGCTGAGCAAAATGAAAGTTACAGTTACAGAGATAGAAATTGAAAAGAGATTGTGGATTTCGGGGGGCTGCGCTCCCCCAAACTCAATAAGCAGTGCTAATAACATTGGGGCCTTCTTCCCGAGAAATGGAAGAGGAATGTTGATAGGTGATCTTAATGCCAAACACATCAGTTGACTGGATAATAGCAACAATAGGGCAGTCAACATTCTCTTCAACTATTTAAACAACCACCAAAACGTAATACTGCACCACCCCAACAACCCCACACTTTTCCCAACTAACGGAAGAACCCCATCCACAATAAACCTAGCACTGATCAGAGGACTGACAGGAATTGAAATAAAAACGAAAAACATTCTTGGATCTACCTGCCAAATTTTCTGAACTGGCAAAACCACCCTCCAGGGCAGGGACTGCAGCAGGTGTACTCATACAAAAGTCTGAACTGGACACTCTTCAAAGGAGACTGAACGACATTACAACAATCCCTAACCCCATCACGAACATACCCGAACTAAAGCGACAAGTTACAACACTAACAAACAAAATACAAACAGTCAGAGACCAACTTGCACCAAAATCACAGCAATCCCACCACCAGGGTCCTTATTCTTGAAACAGGGGAGCAGCGCTCCCAGGAGAACGAGTGTTCCGTCTTTGTTACTCATATGATCAATTGCATATCGTTGACAAAGACGGAATACTCGTTCTCCTGGGAACGCTACTCCCCTGTTTCAAGAATAAGGACCCAGGAGAGAAGACCTTAAATATGACTTACTGACGATATCCGAGTGGTGTGAGAACTGGTTGATGACCCTCAATGAAAACAAATGCACTGTACTCCACATTGGCACCAACAATCCTTTATATGGTTACGAACTTAACGGCATAACTTTGGTATCTACTGATGAACAGAGAGATCTTGGCGTGGTTGTAACCAATAATTTGAAACCAGAAGCACATATCTCAAAATGCATCAAAAAAGCTAACTCAGTGGCCTACCAGACGAAAAAAGCATTCAAGGACCACTCAGTCACTACAACCCTACAAATATATTGTCGCAGCTTTGGGTTGCCTGCTGACAAAATTCTTGGGTTCGTTGTTCGTTTCGTTTATTCCAAAAATCAAAGTCCAATTAACACAGCAATAATTTATTCCACTTAACAAAACACTCTGACACTAATTACTTTATTAACAAACTCAACAATTCAACTCTTTACAATCACTATTTAAATCGTATCACACTCGAACTGAAACTAAACTACAAACCAATGCCGGCCTTCTTATATATCCCTAAATCTATTCCTGTAAAATCTAGAATACACGATAATATTATTTTCCCGAATTAAGTAGAATAATTCACTAGATTCTAGTATACTCAAGAGATAATACCGAGAGATTCTTGACAGCCTGGCGGACGTTTAGCTTATTGTGACACTGCCCTCCTCTTAAGGTTGATCGTCCCGATCAACTTCTCGCCCATGATATTTCGCCAACCTGTCCAGATGTACAACTTTCATCTTACTCCTGGTGTTGCGCTGGACTCGATAAACCAAATCATTGATCCTCTTGATTACTCTATAGGGTCCTTCCCATGCTGAAGACAATTTCGGTGATACTCCTTTCTTCCTTACTGGGTTATATAACCACACTAAATCACCTTCTTGAAATCCGACCGAATTGGCCTTCAAGTCGTATCTGGTCTTCATTCGGTCACTGGCTAGTTGAATATGCTCCCGAGCAAAATCATGGATACCCAGAAGTCGTGCCCTTACTTCGTCGGCATAATCTCGAATTTCTCTTCGTTCTTCTTCGGGTACTCCAAACATCAGATCGCAAGGTAACCTGAGTTCCCTTCCAAAAACAATTCTAGCCGGACTTTCACCTGTTGAATCGTGAACAGCCGCTCTGTAAGCCATTAAAAATAGAGGCAAATGCTTGTCCCAATCTCGTTGGTTCTTTGCGACCACTTTTGTCAGGTGTTCCTCTATGGTCTTATTGAATCGTTCCACCATGCCATCAGATTGAGGGTGTAAAGGTGTTGTCCTTGTCTTACGAATGCCCATGATCTCACAAACTTTCTTAAAGATAGCAGATTCGAAGTTTCGTCCCTGGTCTGAATGTAACTCTAGTGGCACACCATGACGACTAAAAACTTCGTCCACTAGCACCTGGCCAACAGTGATGGCTTCTTGATTGGGAATAGCGAAAACTTCTGGCCATTTACTGAAGTAATCCATGATAACTAAGATGTATTTGTTACCACGCTCTGACTCTGGGAACGGTCCTGCTACATCTATCGCTATTCTCTCAAATGGAAGACCAACGTTGTACTGTTTCATGGGCCCTCGAGATCTTAGTTTAGGGCCTTTACTGGTAGCACAGATGTCGCATTTTCGGCACCAGCTTTTAACGTCTTCATGGTAGTGAACCCAGTAAAAACGTTCCCGAATTTTGTCCAAAGTCTTGTTAACTCCGAAATGTGCCCCTGAGGTTCCGTCGTGTATTTCTTTTAATACATCTTCCACTCGGTCTTTTGGGATTACCAGTTGGCTCTTAGTGGATTTCCCATTGGCACTTTCCCAAACTCTTTTGAGCAAACCATTTTCTACGGCCAGAGAGTTCCACTGGGCCCACAACGCCTTGTAAATCAAGCTTTTGTTTGACACTTCCCCCCATTCTGGCCTACATTCATCATTTTCTTTAAGATGTAGAATTTGCCCGATGTCCTGGTCTGCCTCCTGATCTTCTCTCATTTGCTTGGTAGTCCATTTGTCATCGACGATCAGGCCCGTTCTTCTTACAGCTGGACTAGTGTTTTTCTCATGTATATCGATTCTTTGACAATATTTGCAATCTTCTTTACATGGCCGTCTAGACAGAGCGTCAGCATTTTTATGCAGGTTTCCAGGGCGATGTTTAATTTGGAAATCGTATTGCTGCAATTTCTCAATCCATCTAGCAAGCTGTCCTTCAGGAGTTTTCATTTCTAAAAGCCATTTTAGAGCTGCGTGATCTGTTCGAATTAGAAACTTGCGTCCGTAGAGATACTTATGAAAATGGTCGACTGCTTTTACTATGGCAAGCAACTCTCTTCTGGTGACACAATAATTTCGTTCTGGCTTTGATAATGTTCTGCTGTAGTACTCCACGACATGTTCTTGTGAATTTTGGATTTGTGAAAGGACAGCTCCAACACTGGTGTTACTTGCATCTGTGTCCAAAATCAACATGCCTTTGTGATCAGGATAGGACAACACTGGGCTCGTACATAATGCTCCTTTCAATCTTCTAAATGCGGAATCGCATTCTTGGGTCCAATTGAATGTTGATTTTTCTTCTGTTAATCGATGAAGTGGAGCAGCTATATTGGCGAATCCTTCCACAAATCTTCGATAATAAGAACATAATCCTAGAAAACTCCTTAGTTCATGTTTGTCGCTTGGTTTTGGCCAGTCCCTGACAGCATTTATTTTTCCTTCCATAACTTGTATGCCCTCTTCAGATACCACGTGACCTAAGAATTCCACTTTCTTTTGAAATAGGAAACACTTATTTGGATTGAGTTTCAAGTTGGCATTCCGGAAGCGGTCAAAAACTTCTTTCAGGTTATTAAGATGTTCTTGGAACGAATTTCCCATAATCATGACATCATCCAAATATACCAGGCAAGTTCTCCATGTAAGGCCTCGCAAAACAAGATGCATCAGTCGCTCAAACGTAGCTGGAGCATTACACAATCCGAAAGGCATTACATTAAACTGGTATAGCCCGCTTCCGGTACTGAAGGCAGTTTTCTCTTTGTCATCGTCATGTATTGCCACTTGCCAGTATCCACTTTTGAGATCCAAGGTGGAAAACCATTTGGAGCCCGATAGAGTTGTTAGTGTATCGTCTATTCTTGGGAGAGGGAAGCTGTCCTTCTTGGTGACGTCATTAAGCTTTCGGTAGTCCACACAAAATCTAAGACTCCCATCTTTCTTCGTAACCAGTACTACTGGCGCGGACCATGGGCTATTTGACTCTTCAATGATTCCCTCTTGAAGCATTTTATCAATTTGGTTTTCCATTTCCTGTTGCTTAACTACTGGCATACGTCGTGGTGGTTGTCTAATTGGGTGTGCCAATCCAGTATCAATTTTGTGTTGAATTAAGCTGGTTCGTCCCGTTTGATTGTCCATCACAAATACGTCTGCTTCTTTCAAAATGAAATCTGTGGCTTCTTGAAGTCTATCTGGATCGAGATGTTTCCATGATTTCGCCAAAGTCTGCATCAAGAAGTCTGTATCCAATTTGGATTTCACAAAATGTCGCTTATCTGGTAGGTCACAGTTCGATATTTGCTTCACTGGTTCGAGAGCTCCAATAATGTCTCCTTCTTTTATTCTTACTGTTTCGGAAGAAACATTGGCAATTCTTATCATAATGTCTCCATTTGTTCTTACTAGGGTCTTTCCAACAAGAAATCTTTCTGGTTTATCTCCAATAAAATTACGTGTTAGCCCAACGCAACACCCAGGGTTTGTTTCTAATTTTCCGCAAATGATCTTCTCAGTATTTCCAGGAATCCTCACTGGGGTTGTGGCCAGGATCTTAACGGCATCGGATTCTTCTTGTGTTGTTAGGACAATTTCTTCATTACCAAATTTAAGGATGTTCATGGAAGGATCAAAAGAGAAACCATGTTGGCCGATCAAATCCATTCCCAAAATAAAATCATCTTCTATATCGGCGACTAATGTTCTGTGCCTGAAGGTGGTAGATCCAAAAGTAAGCTCAATCATAGCTTCTCCTTGAATTGGTGCAGATTCGCCGGTGACTGTTCGTAGTGACAGGTTTCTAGTGAGCGGTTGGATTGCTCGAGACTTGACTAATGTTCTTCTAATTATGGAAACTTCAGCACCCGTATCAAAAGTGATGGTTTTCAATTCTCCATTG